TGGATCAGGCAATCTAGGGCAAAGACAATATATCATTCACTTTGGGTTCTTAGGGCCTCGTATAATTACCTGTAATATAACAGGAAACATAGTAGAGGTTTATTGAACTAATTATTATTGAACTGAACTTTTATTAGGATCATATCTTTACATAATCATGCTTAAAGCCCTTCCTAATTCTCTTTATAACTATAAAATCTCTTCCCCCATATTAAATCACCAACTTCTTTTTTTAACTTTATTTTTTATTCCAGTATAATTAACATACAGTGTCATATTAATTTCAGGTGTACAGTAGAGTAGTTCAACAATTCTGTTCATTTCTCAGTGCTCATCAACATAAGCTTACTCTTAGCCCTCTTCACCTGTATCACCCATACCCCTCCTCATCTCTCCTCTGACAACCCTCTGTTCTCCCTATTTAAGAGTCTGGTTTCTTATTTGTCTATCTTCCCTTTTTTTGTTGTTGTTCATTTATTTTGTTTCTTAAATTCCACATATGAGTGAAATTGTATGGTATGTGTCTTTCTCTGTCTTACTTCACCTTGCATTATAACCTCTAGGTCCATCCATGTTGTTGCAAATGGCAAGATTTCATTCTTTTTATGGCTGAGTAATATTTCACTGTAGTAGGTAGGTAGGTAGGTAGATATAGATAGATAGATACCACATGTTCCTTATCCATTTATTTATTGATGGACACTTGAGTTGCTTCCATATCTTGACTTTTGTAAGAAATGCTACAATAAATATGCGGTGAATAGATCTTTTTTTTTTTTTAATTTTTTTTTTCTTTTATTTGACAGACAGATCACAAGTAGGCAGAGAGGCAGGCAGAGAGAGAGAGGAGGAAGCAGACTCCCTGCAGAGCAGAGAGCCCGATGCGGGACTCGATCCCAGGACCCTGAGATCATGACCTGAGCCGAAGGCAGAGGCTTAACCCACTGAGCCACCCAGGCGCCCTGAATAGATCTTTTTTAATTAGTGTTTTCTTTTTCTTTGGGTAAATATCTAGTAGTGGAATTGCTAGATCAGATGGTAAGTTTATTGTTAATTTTTTTGAGCAGCCTCCATACTGTTTTCCACAGTGGCTGCACCAGTTCACATTCCCAGCAACAGGTTTGGAACGAGGATTCCTTTTTCTCCACATTCTTGCCAGCACTTGTTATTTCTTGTCTTTTTTATTTTAACCATTCTGACAGGTGTCAAGTAATAATCTCATTGTCATTTTAATCTGCATTTCCCTTGATGATTAGTGATGTTGAGCATCTTTTCATGTGTCTATTGGCCATCTGTATGTCTTCTTTGGAAAAATGTCTGTTCACATCCTCTGCCCATTTTTAATTGGATTGTTTGGTTTTTTGTTGTTAAGTTGCATAAGTTCCTTATGTATTTTGGAAAATAATGCTTTATCAAATATATCACTTACACATATCTTCTCCCATTCAGTAGCTTGTCTTTTTGCTCTGTTGATGGTTTTCTTTGCTGTGCAAAACTTTTTTTATTTTTATTTTTATTTTTTTTTTATTTATTTTTTTTTTATTTTTTTTTTTAAAGATTTTATTTATTTATTTGACAGAGAGAGATCACAAGTAGATGGAGAGGCAGGCAGAGAGAGAGAGAGAGAGAGGGAAGCAGACTCCCTGCTGAGCAGAGAGCCCCATGCGGGACTCGATCCCAGGACTCTGAGATCATGACCTGAGCCGAAGGCAGCGGCTTAACCCACTGAGCCACCCAGGCGCCCCCAAAACTTTTTTTATTTTGGTGTAGTCTCAATAGCTTAATTTTGCTTTTGTTTCCCTTGCCAGAAATAACATATCTAGAAAAATGTTTCCATGGCTGATGTCAAAGAAATTACTGTTTATTTATTTTCTATGAATTTTATGGTTTAATATCTTCGCATTTAGGTCTTTAATCCATTTCAAGTTTATTTTTGTGTATGATATAAGAAAAAGGTCCTGTTTCATTCTCTTACATGTAGCTGTCCAGTTTTCCTAACACTGTTGAAGAGACTGTCTTTTTCCCATCGTATATACTTGCCCTTTTTCTAGATTAATTGACCATAAAAGCATGGGTTTATTTCTAGACTGTTTTCTATTCCATTGATCTGTGTGTCTATTTTTGTGTCAGTGCCATACTGTTTTGATTACTACAGCTTTGTAGTACATCTTGAAATCTGGGATTGTGATACCTCCCAGCTTTGTTCTTCTTTTTCAAGATTGCTTTGGCTATTTGGGAACTTTTGTAAAATCATCAACTTCTAAGGGAAGACCTGAGAAGGAAGAGTCCAAGAAAAATATTCTGAGTGCCTACGAGGTGCAAAGAATCTAGTTGCCTTGAGACAGTATTTACCAAACCTAGTTGTGCATGAGAATCACATGGGGAATGGCATTCCTAAGCAGGATTTCCCTTTATGTATGTAACTAAATCTTCAGAACATGGGATAATCTGTCATTTTATTGCACTTCCCAAGTTATTCCTGAGTATCCAGCCTAGCTTTTAGGAATTGTTGCAGGGGATTGATAGGAATGGAAGACTCTCTGCTTAGTCAGAGGCAGCTTGAAGTTAGATGGAAAGATACATATGCAAGATGTAAACAGTAATATATGTATCTTTCCATCTAACTTCAAGCTGCTTCTGACTGTAATGACTGTAATTCATGACAAGAGATTAATGAGGTAATATATGATTAATTGCCAAGAGAATGGTATAGACAGTGAGCATTCTTGTTGGAGCTGAGTGGAGGGAAATGTGTCCCAGATCTACCAGGATAAGAGAGATTTGAATTGCCATGGGGTGGGGTTGGGGAATGGAGCTATTGCTAAGTGACTATGGACAGATGAGTAAGACTGGAAATGGACAGGTGAGTAAGACACAAACAATCCCGGCTGTCGCAGAGCTCATAACATGCTGAATGTGGTAGACAGTTAAACAGATACCTATCTAACGTGGTGAGCACAGTGAGAAACATTCCAGATAGAAAGAATTTAAGTAAAGCCCATATCGGGAAGGTGAGAGAAATATACTGGGTTAGAACAGGGACCAACTCAACTTGAGCCAAAGGTTTATACGGGGGAGTATAAGAAATGCTAGCTTCTAGGCTCAAAGGAAGAGAGTGAAAAGGTTTGGGAGCTTGGGAAATCTTACGGAGTAGGAAGCCTTTCTTGTACTTTTGAAATCATATCTGCCAGCTGCTACCCTATTCATGGGGCAACCTTGAGGGCAAGGGCATTTGCAACATTCATAGTAGAGAAAATTAAAAAGGGGGAAGAAATGAAATGATTCTGGCAGGATAGGTTGGGACCAAATTGTAAGGTCATGAATTGTTCACTGATGCTTGGTGATACGGACAAGTCACCTAATCTATCTAAATAACATTTTCCTCATCTCGATGAAGGTTTTGGACTCTGTTTCTCAATATAGCACAGTGCTTAACAGTACTCTGCAGCCAGGCTTGAATTCTGGCTCCGCCGCTTATAAGCTCTGTGACTGAGCAAGTTACTTAACTTATCCGTGCCTCATATTCCTCATCTGTAAGATGAGGGATGACGTGACCCAATAGTGTGCTGTAGATTAGATTAAATGAGCAACTGTACGGAAAGTTCTTAGAATCGTACTTGGCATATAGAAGTTGTCTAGAAGTGTTAACTGTATACCTTCCAGTTCTTGAGGTTTTGACTCGTTACCAAGTATCCAGTCTGAACACTAGAACACAGGAATTATTTAAGAAGACCCATGAAAAACCATAATTAAAATCCAGGACCTACGAGCCCCACAACTGTGTTAAAATACGAGCTAAACTTAGAAAGTGTATTTCCCAGAGGACACATTGCACAGGTGTTTCCTTCTGAAACTTGTTTAGAGAGATGGCCTTAGACGCTTCATTAAAAATATAAACCTGGAACCTGCTCATTATCTCTTTGTTGTCTGCCATCTACTGTGTTGTTTTTCTGTTGTCTGTGCTGTTGGCAGTCTGGCCACTGTTTTGACATGCACTTATCCATAGAACACATTGCGTAATAGAGAGTAATGGAGTTGTAAAACAGTGTATGTGTGCTTCAGGATCAGAGGAGTGAACTCCAAAAAACAGCTTGTCTAAGTCATAGCAGTTGCTTACCTGTAGGTCACATGGTAAGAAGAACCTAAAACCAAGCGTACTGGGCTTCCGTATAAGGAAAAGTCTGTAAAAAATGAGCCAAGACATTTTATCTTGATTTAAAGATTTTCTAATCATTTTTTTTCCTCTTTGGAGCAGAATCCTTAGTAAGAAAAAAAAAAAAAATCCTTAGTAAGCTCTGATACAATCAGAGCTACTGTGCTGGGAGAGGTAAAAGTAAAGAGCGTGGAGCTGTGCCCACCAGGCTTCTTTCCACTTATTCCCAGTCCTTCCACATGGCCGCTGAGTCACTTTCAAGGAACTCTGGGATTCCTAAACTTACAGTTTAAAAATCAGTGATGCAGTTGATTATAGGTTCATTTTGCCTATAGCATATTATTTACTCTTCCTAGGAAAGTTACACGTTACAGGAAAAAAACAAAGTCTCTGGGTCCTGTGCTTTATTTTCTTTATCTTTATTGCTCTCTTTCTCCCTGGCGATACACTCTACCTCTTAATCATCTTTCTGGAAGCAAACCTCAGCCCTTTGTATACTTCCGTGGATATAGGATTGATCTGGAGGCAGATATGCCTGAAAGCTCTCCACTTGTAGAAAAGAAAAAGAAAAACAAGAACAAGAACTTGATTAAAACCTAGACCTCGGGGTGCCTGGGTGGCTTAGTGGGTTAAAGCCTCTGCCTTTGGCTCAGGTCATGGTCTCAGGGTCCTGGGATCGAACCCCGCATCAGGCTCTCTGCTCAGCAGGGAACCTGCTTCCTCCTCTCTCTCTGCCTGCTTCTCTGACTACTTGTAATCTCTATCAAATAAATAAATAAAATCTTTAAAAAAAAAAAAAGAAAACAACCTAGACCTCAAGCTCAGACTGTTTCTTTTTATTCATTAGATTTGTCTGCCTCTGCTCATTCGAAGGTGGTGATCTTCACAGTCAACTCTTTGGGTAGTTCTCAGTCCTACCTGGATGTGGTACAAAGCAATGTGGATATGTTCAGAGCCCTTGTCCCAGCTCTGGGACACTATAGTCAACATGGTGTCCTGCTCGTCGCATCTCAACCAGGTAAAAGGTTTTGTTTTAAATTCATCTGACAGCCCGATGCATCAACAGAATTGCCATTACTGATAAAGGTCCTAAAACTAGATTATAAAGGAACAGCTAGGCTATCCAAATTGCTTTTGTACTGAACAATACAGTATTTCCATCTCCTGTCAAGCAGCCACTTCTTACTGACTGGCATGAACTAGAAGGTTACAACTTAAAATTTTTTACGTAATATCACTATCATTCTAGTCCAGGTTTTTAGCCGTGTCTCCCTCAGTGCGAAAACGGTTGGACAACCAAGAGAAAAATACAGTGGCTTATGTGAAAGATCCTTTGTTAATTCTAAAGTGTCGTAAGATATTAGTGAGCATGCCAGTGTGCGTTGTTAACTTTTCATGTATTGTAAATTGTTTTTAGAACTGTTTTCCTTAAAAAATAAATATTTTCAAATGATTAGGTGGTATTGGACTCAAATTGGTGAACAGAAAGAGAGTTTCTTAATGTTCCCAGTCTAAGGGTATGCATTTTACATGTTTGCCTGTAGTAATTGGTTGAGGGACACTGGTCTCTAATTCCTGACATCCTTTTGGCATGGCAGAAAAAAGGGGTTGTTTTTATTCGTAGTGTTGTACTGCATAGTGGTGTATGTGATCCTTAATTTAAAGATAGAAATTTATCTAAAGCTATAAAAGAGAGCTTGATCAATGAGAAACAATGATTATTTTCTGGTTTTCCATCCCAGTTTGTATCTTTCTTACTTAACTAGGAAAATATCTATTTTCCACTTTTAATTTATATTTAACAACAAAGTTATGTAAAATCATGCTGAAGCCTGGTTAATGTTTTTAATATACATTAAAAATACGGTCTGCCTCAAAGTGCATTTAGAACCTGGGAAAAATATATAGATGCTCTACTATACTTATTAACATAATACGTATTTTGTTTATGAACTAGGCTAGAAGTATATTTTTTATAATCTTTATGTTTTCACCTTGTGTGCGATATTTAGTGGAAATCATGACATACGTGACTTGGAAACTGAGTGCATTTCCTATAAATCGAGTGATTGGGATTGGATGTAATCTGGACTCACAGAGATTACAGTATATTATTACAAATGTTTTGAAGGCACAGCCGTTAGGAAAACAAGTATGGGTTATCGGTGAACAGGGAGAAGACAAAGGTAAGAAGGACGCTTGTATTATCTATATTGCTAACCTAAGTCATCAGTGGCCATGCTATTGGAGATTCCGGAGCAGCGGAGCTCGCTTGGCTTCTGTTTCACAGTTCAGGGCCTTGTATGTAAGGGGCCCGGTATTGTGAAGGGACTCTTCAAGTGTGGAATTCTCATTTATTTACTTTTCCATGAGTTTAACACTAGGCAAGAGCGCTTAGTTTTATATTTTTCTAATTGAATTTCAGAGTCCAGGATTAATTTGAAAGTTTAATTCTCTAGAGAGCCCCATTTAAATAAACCTTAACACATATACAGAACTCCTTCCTTTCCTCTCCCCACACTTCCACCTGCTTACCTTTCCTAAGTTCAGACCTTCTTCCTAGGGCCATACCTCCTGTCCCTTTCTCACCTTTTAAACAGAATTTTCACTCTTTGTGTATCCCTATGATCTTTTCCAGTAGCCCACTTGCTCTCTTCCTACCACAAAAAGCATTGAGTTCCCCAGACTGGAAAGCCCCTTTTCCTATCCAAAAAGAATACTTCCCTATCCAACTTGAGTATCTCTTCCTTTCTTCCTTTACTGTTCCCCTCATGTTTTGAAGTCAAGTTAGTCAGGGGACAGAAGTGCTGTTTGTTCTCATTTTGTATGTAAGTGCCTACTCTTTCCTCACTACTGCCAAAGATGTTAGTATGATCTAAAGGAGGCATGGGGCACCTGGGCCACTCCATCAGTTAAACATCCAGCTCTTGGTTTCGGCTCAGGGGTGATCTTAGGGTCATGAGATCGAGCCCCAAGCTCCCTGCTTAGTGGGGAATCTGCCTGAGATTCTCTCTCTCCCTTTCCTTCTTCCCCCACCCCTGCCACGCTCACTTGCTCTTTCTCAAAATAAGTAAATAAATCTTTTTAAAAATAAGAGAGGCATAGAACATAGTCTCTTCCTTCATCATGCTTAAAAGTTATTTTAGAATAGGAATAAGAATATTTACATGATACTTTAGCTAACAATGAAAGTATATGAAACTATTTGATTAAGTGCCAGAATGAGTATTATAGACTTAGAGTACTTAGCTTCTAAGTGAGCATTTAACATGAGTTGAAATGACTGGAGAAAAGTCTGTATAGGCATCATTGAACTAGATTTTGGAAGAATGAATAGGATTTGAATAGAGAGCAGAGTGGGAAAGATACTCTACGAATGGGAAATCAGAAGCAGGTAAAGGCACATATTAATAGTGGTTGTATCTGGGGTAAAGGAAACTTTTAAAAATGTGTATTTGTCACTATTTTCTAATTTTGTAATTATGGATATTTAGTATTTGTATAATTTTAAAGAAATTTTTAATAAAATGTAGCAGTATTTAAATCTGTGTAAATTAGTATTGGCTACCTAGATAATTCAGTGCTAGAGTCAGACTGTCGAAGAAACCTTTACAAAACCTGATTTTGTGATTGAGCAGGATGACTTTTCAGGCTCAGAATGCTCCTTGACACAAGACACTGATCAACAGGACCCTGGAAATGGGTGGCAAAGAACTTAGAGCAGATGTATTAGAGTAATGCATGCCTAGGGTTGCAAACACACCTGAAACCCCATATTTTACTCACTAGTACTATTTGAGTTCTGGTCCATGTTGATCTCCTGCTTCTCTGATTTCTTGCAGCTCTTGGAATTAGTGTGCTATTTCCCCTCTTATCTACCCTGTAAACGATACCAAATTAATAATGATGTTAGCCAGACCTTTACTGTGTGCTTTCCTGTGTAAACCCAGTCTCCCTAAATCGTATTCCTCTTTTCAAAAGCCTTCACTGACTTCCTCTAATGAAAATATTAAGTTCTTTTGCTTGGCATTCAAGAAATCCCAAAATACAGTCCTAATCTTCCTTCCTCATTATGATTAAGGATGTAGTAATATTATTTGAGAGCTGGAAGGGACCCAAGGGATCAATTACATTTTGTTGTAGGGAGCCAGCAATGGATAAAGAGATGGTAAGAGTGATCTGCACAAGAATCTATAGTTTTTAGGGTCAAAGAAGGACTAAAACCCAGATCTTGTGCCCCCACAGTTTTGCTTCAGCCACAGGGAACTTTGCCCTTCTTCCTCTCTCTCCACATACTTGAATCTCATCCTTTGAGGTCAAGGTCAAGCCCTCACTTACATTGTGAAGGTTTTCCTGATCACATCACTCCACAGTGATTCCTTCACCCTTTTGAGCTAAAAGCTATTGTTAACTGTATGGTAATTATCCCTATAACCAGGAAACATGATCCTTATTCTTTGTTAAGCTGCTATTTATTTATTTGAATATTTAGTGTGTTTACCTTCTCTTTATTGAAAGTGTAAATTATTAAGCTGTTTTCTTTTAGTTGAAAAAGTCATACATTCATATTGCAAAAAATTAAACAGTACAAAAAGGTATATGCAGTAAAAAATAAGTCTCCCTTCTATGTCAGATTCCCAGTTTTTCCTCCCTAGATTCTGTCACAGTTAACAGGCTCTTGTGTAATCTTCTGGCAATGTTCTGTGGGTAGATAAGCACATATATGAAATATTTCATAGGTAGTCAGTATATACATCATTGACATTTTACTTACTGATACGACGGGGAAATAATTGCATAGTAACATATATAGATTTCACTCATCCTTTTAAACTACTGAATATATCAAAATTTATTTAACCAGCCCCAACAGTAAGTTACAGTTCTTGAATGAATAAAAACATTTCACAATATGGTCATATTAATTGTTAGGTCCCCCAGTAATGGGTCCGTGATTAAAGGAGCGAGACTGATACAAAGCGAAGGTCAAGCAAAGCTTTATTTCACGCCAAGCATCAAGAATCAAACCGAACGTTTGGGGCCGCACCTCTTACAGAGAGGTGACCTCTCTCTGCTTCACAGACTAGCTTTTAAGAGCAAAGGCCATGTGGTTGGGCCTGGCCACGCAGAGGTGGCCTATGAAATTGTAACATACAGAAAAAGCTGCACAGTCATGTAAGGTCACACATAAGTGACCAATTGAACTACAATTTACCCTAGTAGATGTTTGAACCCCCTATCACCTAGATCAGAATTGGCGCCCAAAAGGTGCCCAAAGGGCAGCGTCTGTTCTCCTTGGTAACTAGGGAGACAGTATGTACCCCCCCACCCCATCGGATGTCTCCACCTGGCCTGACCTTGTATTTGGGCTTTGTTACCTGGGACTGGTTTCCAGACTTGTTTTTAAGTAAGTCCCCTGGGGGAAGGAGGGCAGGGACAATTTAAGTTTTAAACAACAAAGTTATTGTTTAACCGGATGGAAGCGCTCTGGCTAAATAGATCCTTACATTAATATCCCAAATTGTAGAGAGAAAATAAAGGATAGTGAAATTGATAAACCAGCGTCCAGCACTGTGCTGCTGATGGAAGTACGTACATGTGTGAGAACCCAACCATGTCTCTAGGAAGCTTAGCTCTAACACCGGAAATGACTGTAATGGGAAGGCAACATTGACTTGCTAAGAGAGAGGGCCACGGAAGTAGGATAAAAACACGAGGGAAGGATATGATAATTCTGTCTTGAGCTCTCACATGGGAACTAGAAATAGAGGGATGTAGGTAGATGTGAACTGGGGTCACTTAAATGTAGTATTGTGTACTATCTGACCTACATAAAAGAATACATATAATGTATAACAGATGTTTTGAAGCATAATAGAACAAACATTAATGAGTCTACAGTCAGTTAAGAGCATTACCGATAGCACTGAAACTACTGATGCTCTCCCCAACCCACCTCACTGTGTCCAATCTAGACCCCACCATCAGGTCGCTTTTTATCCTGTCTAGTACTTTGTTTCAGAGATAGTTATATTCACAATAGGTATAACTTACCTTGGCCCTGAAGCCAGAAATGGACAGAGGCTCCCTCTGCTGGTTACATCCATAAACATCAACTGGTTATATTTTTGCATAAGTGCTGTCAGTGCAGTAATAGCAATTATAATAACTTTTCATTGAGAGCGTACTGTGTGTTTTAAATGGGTTGCATATCTCACTTAAAATGTGTAAACACCCTCTGAAGGAGATGGTGGTTTTCCAAATTAACAGACGAGGAAGCTTAAGACTCTATGAGGTTAAGTGATTTGCCCAAGATTACATATCTAGGAAGATTTGAATCCTGCTCTGACTCCAAAGCTGTGCTTTCTCTTGCTTTGACTTAATGAGACAGTTCATCGAAAGCATTTGGTACAGTGTCTAACACAGTAAATAGTAGTTTCTATTATAGCAATCAGCAAAGCAGCGATGAATAGAAAATTAGCAAAAGGACATGTAAAACTACACTTTGACGTAAAGCAACGTTAGGATTTGGAAACTGTACTAAGAATAGCAGGTGTGCAGATAAAATTAATTCTCATCAAGTATTTCAGAGACAAATGACAGCTACAGCCTGGAGGACGAATACTGATGACGTACAAGACCCTTTAGGATTAGTTTCCTGCTTCCCTCCCCTTGCCAGCTTCCTCTTCTGCTCTCCTGCCAGGCATTCTGTGCTAGTCATATGGTCAGCTTGCAGTTTCCTGAATGATTCATGCACTCTCAGGCCTTCTTGCTTTTGCACCTGTCTTCCTTTCCCTGAATGTTCATTCACTTGGCTAACTCCTGCTTACCCTTCAAGACTGGGCTTGAGTACCGTGTCTCCCAGAAAGCCTTTCCTAATTCTCCAGGTCAAGGAAATTCATGCCTCTAACATAACCATTATCACACTGTGTTAGAGTTGCACATTTACCTGTGTGTTTACCCCACCAAACTGCAAGCTCCTTGACTTTGGATTGGCCTCAGTAAATGTGTTTTGAAATGATGCTGATACTATCTTGTGAGGAAAGGTCATTCATATTATGCCCCCACCCAATTAGATAGCAGAACATATGCTTTGGAGCTTCTATTTTCAGCTCTGATATTAATATCATATGTAAACTGCAGTTAACTCCTTCAAACCATGGTTTAGAAATCTAATGGTTGGATGTCAGAACAGACTGTTAGGTCATCTGTATCGGGCATCAGTCTTGCACAAGGGAAGGTGTATACTATGGAAAAGAGTTTCCCCATGGTCACTGTTCATTAAAATTTGGGGCCCAAGGATTGCTGTCCTGAGGACTGGGGCCAAAAAGATGAGGATTGATTAGTTACAGTATTTGAAAGGACTCCCTAAAATAGGTTGGATATATACTTAGGAATTTTGAAGGGCTGGGCAGTAAATGAACAGAAAAAATAATAAGTCCATCTATACCTAATTGAAAATTCTAATGACTTTCTCACAAGAAAAGTTGAACATAGTGAAGCTTTCTCCCTCTTGCCATTCTTTCCCCATGGCTCTTGGAAGTCAGGACTCAGAGAAGAAAGAATGAATGTGATACACACACACACACACATAATAATTTAATATTTAAATAATTTAATACATAATACAATATATAATGATATAACAATATATAATTTAAAATAATTTAATGATTTAATAATTTAATAATTTCATATTTTTTGTGCCCTTTCTGAGTCTTCTCATTCCTCCCTTGCCCCTTTTTATTCACTCTTCCAAGATCAATAAATGCTGTATTTCATTTAGCAGACATTTCCCCCAATTTTCTATCGTGAATTTACCAGTAATGTACAGAAATTTTTTTAAAAGATTTTATTTATTCATTTGAGAGAAAGAAGAGAGAGAGCACAAGCAGGGGAGAGGCAGAAGAAGAGGGAGAAACAGACTACTTGCCAAGCTCAGAGCTTGACATAGGGCTCGATCCCAGGATCTGAAGATCATGACCTGAGGCAAAGACAGATGCCCAACCATCTGAGCCACCCAAGGTCCCCCAGTGTACAGAAATTTTTTAGAAAAAATTCATATATAACCATTCTGTCCATGTAAAATATTTTTTAATCTCTTAATCTGTCCACATATATTTGTATTGCTCATATAACAATTTTTTTTATTTGAGATCCAAGCTTTTAAAGATTAATTTATTTGACAGAGAGAGAGAGAAAGAGCGTGCCAGTGGGGGGAAGGTCAGAGAGAGAGGGAGAAGAGAAATGTAGAGGTGCCTGTGTGACTTAGTTAAGTGACCAACCCTTGATTTTGGCTCAGGTCATGATCTCAGGGTCATGGCTCTGGACTCAGCAGGGAATCTGCTTGAAATTGTCTTCCTCCCTCTCCCTCTGTGCCTGCCCCCGTGCACTCTCACTCGCTCACTCGCACACTTGCTCTCTCTCTCGCTAATAAATAAATCTTTTTTAAAAGACTTATACCTTAAAAATGGTCTTATATATCCAAATGTATTTTTGTTTTGCCTACCCTAATACACATCTGTATTAAAGAATGTCTTCACACAGATGAGAAAGATGAACATTAGAAGGGTTTCAAAATGTTTCTGGCAATTTCTATTTAATATTAAATTTGATGTAAATATCCAGTTCACACATACAGCTTTGAATTTTTGATTTTTTGTTTTGTTTTTTTTTTTTTGTAAATGATGTAATGGGACGAAATGGTAACCCAAAAGATCCTCTTAGCAAACAGGACTCTGCCTCTCTAACAGCTGTGCAAATCTAGCCAAAATAGGTGACCAAATTATACCTCACCTGATGAAAGAACGTAATCTCAGCAAATGCCAAGTGTTTGCTGCTGAGGAAGGAAAACTTTCTACGTGGACAGCACGACGGCCCTTGTAGAACTAGTGTTGATGAGAGAGCACAGGGGAGGCTGCAGATAGGCTCTGGGGATCATGCTTTTGGGGTGAGTGTAGCTCCCAAGCAGTTGGCACAGCACACCCAATGCCATCAGTGGAAAGCTGTTTCTAGAAAGGGGAGAAAGTGTTTAAAGTTTCATACAGATACCCTTGACTGCAAGTGATCATTTATCACATGCTAATCCTAAGGAAGTTGTTGGCAACATATAATTAATTTTTCCTTTAATTTTTAGTGCCCACATGGGGTGGCCAAGAAGAAGTAATGAGTCCTAACTCTCGGGTGCAGTTGTCCAACAGGTAACACTGAATGTTGATTTGCATGTACCCAGTTGAAAATCATGTACTTCGTGGTACCATAGCAACTGTTTACACAGCACGCCCTTACCAGGCTTCTGCAAACAAAACTAGCTAGTATGGACAAGACCAGAGTACAAGAGGTCAGTTCTAGTCTTAGATTTCTTATCTGAAAGAAGATCTAGGAGGGCCTTGCAAACTTTATTTCAGATATGCAGTGGACGCGTAAAGGGGAGAACAGGTTTCTTATTTGTAGTCCTTGACTTCCTGCTCTGAGAGGTCAACATCTGAGGATATAGAGAATTTTCTAAATGTAGAGAGAATTTATCCATATCACTTAAAATTAATACAGGGGTGCCTGGGGGGCTCAGTTGGTTGAATGTCTGACCCTTGGTTTCGGCTCAGGTCGTGATCTCAGGGTCATGAGATTGAGCCCTATGTTGGGCTCCCTGCTGGAGATCCTCTCTCTTCCTCTCCCTCTGCCCCTGCCCCATATGCATACTGTCTCTCTGAAATAAATAAATACATCTTAAAAAATAATAATGTACTTATTAATCATGCATAAATACATTTGGAAACTAATATAATATGAATGGATAAGCTATATAAGTTCAGGCAAAAATAAAGTATAATGCACAGATCCTGTGTCTGTTGCCTTTGGTCACACACCTTCCAAGGCCCATACCCTGCAGTTTGTACTCCATGCACTGTGTGTTTTCAAGCCATCTGTTGTCTCACCATCACATAATAACATATGTTTCTGCAATTAGGTGGAGACTTTTAGCTTTATAAACCTTCAGCTTAAGACTCTTAGCCTATAAAAACTGGAAAGAATATTCTCTTATTGGGGGTGCTTGGGTGGCTCAGTTGTTAAGCATCTACCTTTGGCTCAGGTCATGATACCAGGGTCCTGGGAATGAGCCCCACATCGGGCTCCCTGCTTGGCAGGAAGCCTGCTTCTTCCTCTCCCACTCCCCCTGCTGTGTTCCTGCTCTCACTGTCTCTGTCTGTTAAATAAATAAATAAATAAATAAATGAAATCTTAAAAAAAAAAAAAAGAATATTCTTACTGAGAAGAGTGTTGTATAATCCATTCTAATCTGATTCTCTACATAATCCTGCATTTATAAGGAAGAAAGTATAAAAGGAAGAAATTCAAACATGTTTATTTAATTTATATCATTTTTATTATTTACAAAGTGAATGTATGCTCTTATAAAACTTCATATTCCACAGATATCTATAAAGTAGAAAATGAAAAACTGGGGGTAATCCCACTCTCCAGAGACCACTACTATTAACAGCTTAGTGTCCATATATCCAAACATTTTTCCAATGCTTATGCAAACATTATCATTACTATTTTTGTTATTTGTAAAATAGATGTATGCTATTCATATTACCTTGCAACTTACTTTGTTTCTTTAATAATAAATCTTGGACATTTTCCCATGTGGTATATACAAATCTACCTTATTCCTCTCTGGAGTGATACAGTACAACATTTGGATAGTGATTTATTGAACCAGTCCTCTTTTGAGGAGTTGTTTCCAGAATTTTTGCTGTCTCACACAAGGCGAACATATGTATATATTTGCATACTTGAGCATATAGCTGAGGAGGAATTTCTAGATCAGATGTTGCTAAATCTTTCTCCTAAAAGATGATATCACTTTCCACTCTCAACAGCGGTTATGGGCAGGCCTGGTTCTCTGTAGCTTCTCCAGAAATAGTTATCAGTCTCTTTGAATTTGCTGATTTTGATAGGCAACACTAGTGTATTGTTTTAACTCACATTTAAATATTAGTGGAGGTGAGCTTCTTTTATGTTATTAAGCCATTTGTATTTTCTCTGTGAACTACCTGCCTGACATTTTAAGAAAAGCTTAGCCAGTAGATTATCTGTAGGCTTCCCTAACAATTGCTATATAACACTTACTTCTGAATCCAAAAATATCTAATTAATACCTTAAACAGTGTAAAACTAAATGTGCATACTTTGTGAATTTTCTGAGATTTTTTTTTTTAATTTTGAGATAATGTTTTATTATCATCTGTTAACTCATTAACCATTGCTGGAAGAATTCTTAGGAAAAAAATACAATGTAAAATGGAGGAATGGAAAATTAACAGGCAGTTCTCAGAATCAGGTATAAAAAATCCAGAAAGAGATCACACTGCTCATCATTAAATCAAGAGCAAGCAAGACAAGTTACTATTTCCATCTGTAAGTAATTGTTGGCATTGAGTCAATGAGACTAGCATTCTCATACAAGATAGTGAGGATGTAAAGTAAAACTTCTTTCGAGAGTAATTTGAAAAGTTGCTATCAATGTTTTCAGTGGGCACCTGGGTGGCTCAGTTAGTTGAATATCCAACTCTTGATTTTGGCTAAGGTCATGATCTTAGGGTCACAGGATCAAGTCCTGTATCAGTTCTGTTCTTAGCCAGAATTTGCTTGGGTTTCTCTCTCTCCCTCTGCCCCTCCTCCTGCTTGCATAGTCCCTCCTGTCCTCTCTTCATTCTCAACTCAGTAAATTAAAAAAGAAAAGAAAGACAAAAATACATAAATATCCTTATTTCTACCACCTAGAGATTATCAAGCAATAATCTGATGAGCATCTTTCCAAATTTATTCTGTGCTAAAGTATGTATACACAGAAAGGACTTATACGTAATTATAATTATTCACTGATACTATATCATTAACATATTTCCATGTTTATAAACAGAGTTAGACTTTTTAAATTTCTTTTCAGCGTAACAGTATTCATTGTATTAAGGAGGGCACGTATTGCCTGGAGCACAGGGTGTGGTGCAAAAACAATACTGTTACGCTGATTTATTATTTTTTTAAATTTATTTTTATTTTTTTTGTAATCTAGAGCCATGGAACTGTTACGGGTAAAAGGTCAAAGATCCTGGTCTGTTGGACTATCAGTGGCTGACCTGGTTGACAGTATTGTAAACAATAAAAAGAAGATACATTCTGTATCAATTTTAGCAAAGGTAATTGCTGTTTTTGTACTTTCATCATGTTTTTAAACTTTTAAATTATTCATATAAGTCCAGAAAAAGTGCTGCTTCGACTGTACCTCAGGTGTCTTCAGTATCTACTGGTTTCGAGAGTAACACACGGGAGGAGACAGTTCGGGCGAAGCCCTGTCCTGCTTGGTTCTGGGAAGCCTGGACTTCTTCCAGGTTGCCCCACCACGCCCCCAGCCCCATGTAATTTTGGGGACGTCTCAAGAAACATCCGTGTATTCCATTAAGTTCTGGTTGTCATTTACCACCTCAGCCAGTCCCGTCACCCCAGACTGACATGCCAGCTCGTCCCAGCTGCGCGTCCAGGTGCTTTTCCAGCTCACTCTGTCCTTCCCCACTTTATCCCAAGCCTAGAGTCCCTAAAGCACAGCTAAGACAAGGCACACATGCTTAAGTACATTTTCATGAAAACTTTGGAATATCAGAAGGGAAATAAAACACAGAAAGTGGCGGGCGCCTGGGTGGCTCAGTGGGTTAAGCCTCTGCCTTCGGCTCGGGTCGTGATCTCAGGGTCCTGGGATCAAGGCCCGCATCGGGCTCTCTGCTCAGCGGGGAGCCTGCTTCCCCCTCTCTCTCGGCCTGCCTCTCTGCCTACTTGTGATCTCTGTCAAATAAATAAATAAAATCTTTAAAAAAAAACACACACACACGGAAAGGAAAACTCAAAACAGGTTACTGTATGTGACTGGACCCCTCCACAGGGAGTTCACTCTGACCAGCTTTTCTCAGCCCCCATCTGCTCACTGTATAGCAGCAGGCCAGCTTGCCTCCCCACCAAGTGGCTGTCCCCGACCACGTGCCTCCTATCACACGCATTTTCCAAAACAATCGCATGTTTGGAAATTAAATGACCATTTTTTTTTATCTCTTACCTGTTTATAACTAGAAAAGCATATTTATGATATTAATTTTTTGCGGTGATTTAGTTCTCTCGTAATCCCTATTTTTTTTTCATTTCAGGGATATTATAACATAAATAGTGAAGTGTTTTTAAGTTTGCCTTGCATCATTGGAAGCAGTGGGGTATCTGAAGTCATCCAAAGCACAGTGAAGGAAGATGTGGTGACTGAGAAACTCCAAAGCAGTGCATCATCAATCCATGGTCTCCAGCAACAGTTAAAACTTTGATTCTAAAGTTCAGTTACCGGAAAGGAAAGGTCATTTAATTTTGCCAACATACATAGGGTTGAGAATTTCTGTATCTTATTACTTACCCTTACAAACTGCTTGGTTAAGGTAGATGGTTTCCGATTAGCTTTGTAATTTGAATCCTTAGGGAGTTAAGATAGGGAGGGGGAAAAGATCTAATTTTCTTTGTTGCTCTTGAGCTCTCTAAAACTGTTCTTCCAACCTCCAGCAGAAGTAGACATTCATCTACAATATGCATCATTTAAATTTATGGATCCTCAACTAAAAGCACATTTAGCACTTTGGGAGTATTTTGAAAGTAATATGTTTTTAAAAGAAAATGACTCCTTGACTCTTATAATAAACATGATAAGCTGAAGGCCCAGTATTGATTTACAGAATCTGTGCTAGGTGTACTTCAAAAGATCCCCAGCCTAAGGTACTGTTTCTTCTTTAAAATATAATTCGTAGTAATGGGAAAGCATTTTGTTTTCCCTCTTCAAATCAATTAGCTACCAAAAATGTTAAAAAATGAATTTTATGTGCACTTTCAAGTAGTGAAAGTGAAATTTTTTAATAGTTGAAGAAAAAGTGTTAAATTTCCAGTGGGACTGTCCTTTCTGAAATTTTTTATAACCCCTTCTTGGGCTATATAGTAGATCTCCAACACCTCAAAAGCCCATTATACTAGTAGTACCATAGAGAAAGGTATATTTTTAGTGGAAATAGACTATGAAAAATAGCCAAGCAACTTACTTTAGAGCTAAAACAGGAGGATTTCATAAAAACTATTAGTCTTAAGGGTAAGAGTTTGGATGGATTGGCTGTTCTGAACAAACCCTCTAGCCACTCCTGAAGGAGTGATTGAGCATATATATGCCTTATGGGTCAATAACAATACGTTGCGTGTGAGAGCGTATTGTTACAGATGTGACACCCAACTAGTATTAACAGTCAACACTGACACTGCTGTTTCAGGAAGGGGAATGAGCACTTTATTATCTTATTGAATCTTGAAAATCATCTGCTGTGGCAGGTTCTATCATTTTATAGAGGAGAAGATTGAGGGTTAGTGCCCAGGTGTCACAATCCAGGGGCACTTGGCCACACCACCTCTTCTTTTTCTAAGCAGTAGAAGGAAGAAAAAGCCTGACAGCCAAAACAGTGAGCACAAGACCTTAAAGCTGGGGTTCTGTACGCTACAGAAGGATTACTTCTATTCTCATGTAGGGGCCGGCTTTCTTTATTATCCCAATATAGTTTTTTGAAAGATGGATTCCCTGACTTTGCAGACTTGCCCTCAGCAAATAGCAAAAAGGAGTATGCACTGAGATACGTGTTTATTTGTTTATTCATTCACAGGGTACTGAGTGGAAGCCTACAGTACACCAGACACTGTACGGTGCGTTGCAGATACAGTGGTGGGCCAACCGGTACTAGGCACAGCCTTCACAGTCCATACAATCTAGTATAGGAGACATTGTAATCAAATCTCATGAACAGATGTACAATTGCAAGAATAGTTAAGTGCTGTGAAGAAGTCCCAGGTGCCTTGAAAGCACGTAACAGGCAAATCCAAACCTGGTCAGAGAGATAGGAGCCAGGTGGTTTATAAGGGCAGACACATCCTGGTTAGAAACAGTGAAACTAATGCCGGTTTAGTAGAATAATGGATGCTTATAATGAGCTTAAATCATAAAGTAAAATTATACTCAGTGTCCCATGTTTAAGAAAGTAGAAAAGTATGTAATACGTTTGGAAAGATTCCTGTGAGAATTACCTGAGCTAAAAACTTTGGACGTTTGAGGAGATAAGCATTAGTTCTGTGTAAGTTCACTACATTGGGTAGATTATTTTGGTATTACTCTTAACAATGTATCCTCACTGTCCTGTTGCATGAAACAGGGAAGTAAAACTGAAAGAACCATTTCTTACATTTTTTAAATGAGATTTTTCTAATATCTATGATCTAATTAGAAATTAGATAACTTCTACTATCTAATTTCTAATATGAATCTAATTGAATAATAACCTAATTGCAAGACATTGTGTAACAGATGAATTACCAAGAGTTCACTATATTAATTATAAATGGTCAATGAATGCAATACAACAAATACTTATTTAGCATCTACTGTTACTCCAAATACTATATTAGAATTTAAGTATTCAAAGTTGAGAAATAGTCCTTGCTCTGCGGAAGCCCACCCTATATAAATAATTCTGTCAATTATTTCCTCAAGTGCTGAGTATTCTCAATCATGTAGGTTCCATATGTAAGTCAAGAAGCAGTACCACCACTACCTCACTATGATCTGGTGGTAATTGCCATTCACTATTCTTTTAACTTTCACTGTTTCATTTTTCCAAAATCATGCAGTATCTCTTCTTGTTAATTATTTTTTAGTGGGGCGTGGATTAAAATGCTTTGATTTTGTAGTGTAGAGATAAATATTTGATTTTCCAATTTATGTTGTAGCTTTCCTTAAGTACCAAGAGCAATGAGTAAAATAAACTTTGACTTTAAAATCACCAGAAGATGCCTAATTTATTGAAAGAGTGATAGGAAATTTATTCAGATTGAAGAGAAATTTCTTTCATGTAATTGATACAGTACCCAGGCTATTTCAAGTGACTTAAGTGCAAAATTAAGAGAGTGGCTTCTGTTAATTGTTTTCAAGCTTTTAAAAATTACTTCTAGCAAGAAAACTTTTTAAGCAATATATTACATGCACTCTCCCAACTGATAAAGCACAGTTGCTCTGAGGGTACTTCTGAATGAGTTGTGGCTCTAAGACCAATTTGAAAACTACTTTGCTTTTAAGTGACATAAAAGAGGTGGTTCTTTTATGGGACTCATGGATGATTCAAGTTGTATATCTTGGGGTGCTGTGATTGACCCTATGTGCGGCTGTCTGCTCAGTGGGGAGTCTCTCCCTCTCTCTCCCTCCATGATCATCCTGCTCTTGCGGTCTCTCAAATAAATAAAATCTTAAAAAAAAAAAATTAAAAAAAGGCCCAGTGGAAAGACAAACTGCCCAGTGGAAAGACAGACTGGTTTGACTGGAACTGTATGCTTAACACAGGATGTCCATATCCCAAAAAATGATACCTATTGGGACAGCCTGTGCCTTGTGTTGGCAGTAATTTAAGATACTTCCACATGATTTCAATTAGGCCCTCTATGTTTGTGACCTCACCTAGATGCCAACTCAGAAAAGAATACCACAACCTGTTCCTCACTAGCACTAAACTAACATCATCCAAATGAACATAGTACAGATTATCAAACCCAAGTTTTGCAATACCTTGAATGCACCGTCTCCACTCACCGTGGTGAGTGCAGTAATGACTCATCTAAATGACCATGAAGAACTTCTTTGGGTAGTAGAAATTCAATTAAGATCAAGCCCCTACTCTTGCTCTGTTCAAGGGGATCTGAAGATGAGCCTGCCCTCAAAGATTTGGACTTTGATATTGGGCAGGCTAATATGCAACTGTACTGCAAGGTAGAATGCATAGTGTATTATGATTTTGGCTAGGAAAAGAGTTCTGGCTTAGGGGAATGGCTTCCCAGAGAAGAAATCACCGCCTGGATTCCTGAGAAACCAGGGCTCTGCACTTCGCCCTTGTGGATGTAGTATGAAGAACTTTTATGCTTAAAAACACAAAAACAAAACCTGATCATCAGAGAGACCCTAGGCATCATCTAACGCAAGCCTCCCATCTCAGAGTTGGGAAAAACTTTAAGTCCCAGCTACACTGCACTTGCCTTCAATTATCACAAGGGCAAATTAGTCGCACAACAGTTTTCTGACTCCCAGTCCAAATGATGAATCGGTCATTAAATCTCACTCGCAAAACCTTCCTATTCCCCTCCCTGCACCTGCTCCCTTCGTCTGAGGCAACCGTGAAACACCTGCTGATATTACCCCATTGCAAAGTTTCGATCCTCACAAGATTGTCCTCATCACTGGGACCCCACTCAGCTTGTGGACAACAGCTCACCAGGTGGGTCGGAACCTACACAGCTCCCAACCTCAGTTGCTTGCCCCGGAAGTGACGTAAAGGAAGCGGAAGAGCTGGCCTGGTGGCCGACTTCCTGTTGTTAGAGGCCGGGGGGGTGGGGGGCTGGTTACTAGGTGTGTGATTGTGTGGGGCGGCCTGGGCGGCCCCGGAGCGGCTGACCCTCTGCCTGCGGGGACGGGAGTCGCGAGGCGGCCGCCATGGCGGTGTCGGAGAGCCAGCTCAAGAAAATGGTGTCCAAGGTGAGTCCTCGGAGCACGGGCCACCGGCGCGCGCCCACCACTCCCCTTGGCGCCGGCGGGGCCTGGCCGGACTCAGCCCAGCGCGCCTCCTCGGCCGGCCGGAGGCCCAGTGCAGCCCTCAGCCGCCTTTGCGGCCCCAGCCCCGAGATGCCTGTCGCCTTGTGCCGGAATCCCCGCTGCACAGCCGGGGAAGATGGAGGGAGGGGGCGGCGACGGTCAACAAAGGCTCGGAGCTGAGGCCGCCTGCCACCTGCCGCCCGCCCTCCTCTCTGCGGGTAGAGTTTGGAATAGTCTGTGTGGGGCAGTGTAGTTTTCGTCCTGGTTTTTATAAACACAGAGAGGAGGGTGGACTTAATTCTCCATCTGAGATAGTCCTCCACTGCTGTCCCAGTGTAGGGATCCGTCCGTCTTCGCCCTTCCGTGCCGGCCCCTGGAGATTGTATCCTTTTCAGTTTCATGTTTCTCACACTGCTCAATACCCCACCCGCGGAGGTCAGTTAACTGTTGGTTGAATTGGTTCAATTATAAGTAAAAACGTTCAGATAAGCCTAAGTATCAGTCCGTCACTACCTCGGTGGGATAAATAGAATTTCAGGGTCTTTGATTTATAACCACTTTTAATTGTTTGGTTCTTACAACGCGAACTTGTTTGCTTTGAACCTAATTTATAATCTTCAAGTTCAAGACCAGTGTATTTTTTTAATTCTTAAAAAGTAGATAGGCGCTTTACATTTTAAAGCCATGAATTATTTTGTTCGTTACTTTAAATGTGGTACCTGGTAACAGAGTGAACTGGGTGATAGTGGGCGTTTTTTCTTTTTTTCAGTTTATCAATTAGGAATTAGATGCATGTGAAGTGATTGAGAGTTGAATCTCCTCCAGTTCAGTGGGTTAGCTTTGGATACTTTTGTCAAAGCAAGAATGGTAGGAATCAAAGTAGTTTAAGCAGTTTTCACTATTAACAAAACACACACTGTGTATAAACTTATTTCTTTGAAAAATATCCAGTCCCTCCACCGCCACCTCCCAGTAAAATCGTGCCTCTAGTCTTTGGTTGAAAAGCAAATGACCTCTAAAGAGGAAGTGGCAGTTTTCAAAATAAAGCTACTCTTGATTGTCTAATATCTTCTCTTCTTAATTTTCTTTTGATAAAGTAGTCATTCTTGATCGTAGAGGAAGTTTGGGGGCGCCCTATTAGATGGTGGCCCAGGTCCATGTTGAAACATTTATGTATCACTTTAAAAAACAGTACATTATTTTACAATGTAACTGAAAAGTATCTTTTCCATGCCATTTTTTTTTTAAGATTTTATTTATTTATTCGACAGACAGAGATCACAAGTAGGCAGAGAGGCAGGCAGAGAGAGAGGGAGGGAGCAGGCTCCCTGTCGAGCAGAGAGCCCGATGCGGGGCTCGATCCCAGGACCCTGAGACCACGACCCGAGCCGAAGGCAGAGGCTTTAACCACTGAGCCACCCAGGCGCCCCTCCATGCCATTTTTTATGTGTAAATTGATCACATTAGTATTAAGGTTTTTGCCTTAGTCTTCCTGTCTAGGGACAAGAATATTCAAATAATGGTTCTGAATTTTAAAAAACCATGATTAAGTTTCCCAAACTTCCTGTAGCGGAACCTGCCTTCAAAGACAGATGCAGAA